AAAATCCTGGGAAAATTGTATTGGGTTTTACCGAACCCTTTTTTTTTGCAGTCAACGGTCGCGGCAGCCGCGATCCATCTGGACACCATATTTTTCCGAAGAGTGAAAAAAATCACAACTTTGAGAAAAATGGTATATAAAAAAGGGTTACTTTCTTGAAAAGTGCATATGATAACAAAAAAAATCTATTGTATGAAAATATCTGCCAAAATACAGATATAAATAAAATAAAAATAGGTTTTAACGTCAAGTATTCAATACAATATACAATTATTGTACAATTTATTTTGCGAATAATTCTGCAATATTTTTTTAAAAAATATTTCTCATGTTATTTACTTACAATACATGTTAAAATAAATAAACTGATGCTACTGTTATATAAAGCTAAACGAATCGTCATAATCCATAGTTAAATATTATATAAAAATAATTACTTTGATAGCAAAAATTCAGTCAAAAATTAAAATAATAATATTTTTACTAATCTTAATAAACATTTATTAGTTAAATTAACATCAAATTTATGTCAAAATAATTATACACTAATTATTTGCATGTCAGTAAATTTGAACTATTTTTAGCCGGTTTTGGCTAATTATTATTGGTTACTTTTTAACAATAATTAATAGTTTTTAACTAAATTGCTATTGCAAAAATTTATCAGTGACTTTACTAAAAATTGTATTTCTTTTCAGTAAAGAAATGAATAAACTAAAATAGTCTCAATCTGTTCCAAACAAACAACTTGGGAATCAATGTATTCGTTTACTTGCGAGTGCTGCGCTGCGAAACATCTCGTAGCGCGCTGACGTCTTTTTAAACAAACTGTTGTAGAAAGTATAGTTATCGGTTAAAGAAAGCAATATTTTTAGAAAAACTTTATCAAATACTACTTAACAAGTTAGAATAAAAAAATTTTTTAAATTCGAAACTTCATCGCAATGTTTTTTCGTTCAAAGTTTCTAAAACACGTGTCACGACAATACTTACTTTGCAGCTAAAAATTATTAACAAATTATACTTTTTTATTATTTTAATCATTTCGCTGGAATCAGCGAGGTTTTCTACGAAGGTATGTGAAGTTACAACTATTTTGCTTCATTGGTTAACAAAATATCACGAGTTGAGTATTAAAATTTAATTATTTTAATCCGGTGGAAAAATTTAGTTTTTATTTTTTATCAAGAAAAATAAAAGTCACAGAACAAAATTTTCTTAATAAAAAATGTGTATTTATATAAGCTCTATTGAGAACAATTTTTATTTTTGCTTTTCATTGACTTCGGAATTTCAGATACTTTTTCCGACATCTTATCTTGCGAAAAAAGAGACAGACAACACGTTCGAGCGTAGAGGCAGTTGATACATCCGGCCCCTCAATTAATCTCTACACACGAAAGTTTTACAAAAAAAAATTCTACACAATATAATTGAATATACTTAATTTAACTTAATTCTTAATTTTTTATATATATTTACTTTACTAAATTTATGGGGTGCAATTAATTTCTTAATAAATTTTAATTTATTTTTTTTTAATTTAATATTATTTATTTAAGAATGTTTGTGTAATTTGTAATTTTTTTGTAATTTTTTTTTGTAATTTGTGTAATTTTTTTTTAATTTTAATTGTAATTTGTTTTTTGTAATTGTGTAATTTAATGTTAATAATTAAATTAAAGCATCCAAACTTATATTTTTCCTAATTTAGAATTTTACGGTGTGGAATATTGCGAAGAATTAAGCATATTTAATTAAATAATTAAATGTTTTCTAATAAGAATAAGTGTACTCTAGATATTTTTGAATTAGTGACAATGTTTACTAATTTGAATCAGTGACTGACTTTTCGCTTTTTAATTTGTAAATTTTACTTTTTTAAATCAGGGTGGTTTCATAAGTATCAATTTTTCTGACAATTTACTGACTTTAAAATTGCTTTTCCTGACAAAATTCTTTTTACAGGAAAATATGAATGTTTACGGAAAAATGAGTAAAATTTATGAATTTTAATAATTTCTAAAAATTACAATTATAACCCATCCTGAATTCAATTATTTTCTACAATTTTCAACTCAACTTTATCTCTGAATCAATTAATTTAAATAATTTTTCAAAAGTTCTTCTAGAATTTAAATATTTAAATACAAAAATCTTAATTTTTTATAATAATAAATTGTAACTCTCCATAGTTTTTTCTTAAGTTATTAATGTATTATTTTCAAAAAATTACAGAGAAATTCTTACAATTAATTTTGTAAAAATATATTAAAATAATTATTTTACATTGTTTGAAGCTTTTTAATAATTCAATTATTTTGAAAATTTGCAATTAAAATTCTTTAAAAGTTGATTTTCAAAAATTGTAACAAAATACTTTTAAAAAATTAATTATTTTCAATAAAATTGTACAAAATTTCAATTATTATTCAAAAAGATTTTTCTTATATAGATATATTTGAAAAATTTTAATTATCTTAAAAAATGATTCAAAAACAATTTTTGAAAGATTTGTTTATAGTTATTTTTCGCATTATAAAAATCAAAATAAATTGTACTTTTTTTTTACTAAAAATTCTGATATTTTGTTGCAATGTTTGGAAGAAAAGTCGAAAAAGTTGCAATTTTTGGTAAGTTTAGAAAAGTCTCAATTTTCTTTGACAAAAAATTTTTTCCTGACATTTCCCTGACTTTACTGACATGTGGCCACCCTGTAAATCTAAAATCTTTGAAATAATCGTTTCATTTTTTCGGTTTTGTAAAAAAAAATATTTTTCGATGCTCAACATAGACACTAATTTTAGACACTTTAGTAATTCAATTTGTAAAACTTTACTTTATTAGTAAAATGTACTAATTCAAAAGTAAAAAAGTCAGTCACTGATTTAAATTAGTAAATATTTTTACTAATTCGTATTTACTTTGTTCTTGTTTAATTTTGTTTTTTCCTGATTTCCAAATAGAATTTTGACTTTTTCACATTTATTTGAGAATATTTTCAATTCCAAACTTTTATTTGAAACATTAATAATTTACAAAAATTATAAATATAAAACCTTCTAAAATTCAATTATTTATAAAAATTGCAATCGCAATTCTTCAAAAATTCAATCATTTTTCGACTTTTTAAGTAAAATTATTTCCTGAAAAATTTATAAATAATAATATTATGAAAGTTTTTTAATTCAAGATTTAAATTATTTAAAATAAATTGCAATTATTGTCAAAAATGGAAAAAGTCCAAAGTTCTGTATGAAAATTAGTAATGATTTCAAAATTTAGAAAGTGAATTATAAGAAAAATTCCTAAACGTATTAATATTAACAAAGATTAATTTGCGGACACCGGAAAAACCAGAATTTTTTTCTCAATTTTGTAAATTTAATATTAATTTCTCCAGTACTTTTCATAAAATTCCCGAATTTTTTCCTAATTTATGCAATAGTAAGAGTTTATCACTCAGTATAAAAATACTGATGAATGTTGAGAATTAAAAATATTGTTGCAATATTTATTTGCTCTATATTTGAATTCCTTTTTTTTAGGAGCATTTGTTTCTATAAATATGTAAATATATCAAAATAAATAGCCTTAATTAAAATGTTATACGCTCAAATCCCTAAAATAAAATTTTTGTGTAAATACAAAATTTTATAAGCATAAAAACCACAAAAAACTTTGCATAAACAATGTGTACAAATGTCAAAACATTGTCATAACCTCTTTTTAGTTCTATTCCTCGCGTTCACGTTCCTTGCATTTTACGAGCGATCGCGAGTGCTTCCGATTATACTTCGGCTTAGCCATTGCGTTTTACATATGTGTGCAAGCTCACCGATTTAGGCAATATATATAGCCAACCACCTAAGCTTGGGACTTTTGGCCGCGAGGGGGCAGACTTTCAAAGGAAAGAGCGATTTGCATTACGTGCGTACTCTCAGTTTCTCTCTGCAATTATTTTCAAAAAAAAATTTAGTAAAATACCTCACAGACATTCAATTGTTCTCAAAAATTTTAATAGATTTCTTTGTAAAATTTAATTATTTAATTTTTAAAAAATTTTCGAAATTTGATGATTATTTCAATATTTAGTATTTTTCATAAAATTTCCTAACAGATTTCAATTATTTAAAAAATATTATTTAATTATTTAAATTAGAATTCGCATAAAACTAGTCGAAAGAAATCAATTATTTAAAAATTTTTATAAAATTCTTCGCAAGAATTAAATTATTTTTATAAATATTTGAATTTTCTTTCGTGAATAATAAAATTCCTTGCAGGAATTGAATTTATTAGCAGGATAAGAAAGAAGTAAATATTTTTATTGAAAGTTAGGAAAAATTCAGGAAAATGAAAAATGTGGAATAGAATTTTTGTCAGTTTTGTAAAGTGTCTAAAACGAGTTTTTTTGGTTGTCAAGTTTAATTTTTCGATTTTTTTAAAATTTCTTTTTCTTGTTTGTAAGCTACTTTTTGCTACTGTTTTAAAATTAATTATCGAGTGCGAAGTCTGTTTTAAGCAATATTGTATTTTTAAAAAAATTGTTATTGTAAAAAAAACCTCTCGTATGTTTACAAATGTCACGTATTGTTTTATTTTTATCTGAATTACGGTCGATGAAATTTCCCTTCAATTTCAATGACACTACTTTACATATTTATTACATGAGCGTGACTATCTCTGTTATCGAGTCAAGTTCATTGACAGAAAATATATTTTAATATTTCATTATTTCGAATGACTGGGTTCATATACGATAAAGACAACAAAATTACGCTTCAATTGAGCAATTCTGTCTCTTGCATGCATGTTTAATGTGTAAATAAGAAAAAAAAAGTATTTTTCAGCTTAAACAAGAAAATTACATAATTTATATTAATATTGAAAAGATAGTAAAGAAAAATAATGTTTTTCGAAAAATGAAAATATTTTCAACTAAACAATATTACATTATCATCAGAATTGGTAATTTGATATTCTTATTTGAATTTCAGGCTGCATTTACAGACATATATAAGATGATTCCACGAATCCAAGTTTTCAACTTTCTTCAGTTATTAGTGGAAGCGATACGGATATCAAGATTACAGGATCGTTCTACGCGATAGACTGATAATTATAAGACAATTTTTTCTCAAAAGGTATGTTTTCTTTGGGTCTATAGATTTTATGATTTTTAAGATTTTAAGATGTTTTAAAGAATTATTGAAATAATTTTGAATAATTACTTACAGACTTACTTCTTCAAAACAAAAAAAAAAGAAAAGAAAACAAAATAATAATAAATAAATAAAGAATAAAATAATAATAATAAATCCTACGCTTGTGAGACAAGTACTAATTAGGATGTTTCTGTTTTCCTACTTTTGGTCGAATTTGTTTCCACATGTGCGAAGCATCGACGAATTACCTTTTCACTTTATCGAGCTTCAACGTGTGTATTTCTCGTTCTCTGACCTATCAAAAATTAACGTAGAATTATCTAAAAGGACCTAATTCCTCATATCAGAAACTCTGCCAGTATTACCAATACGAGATGTTCACTAGCCTTTTGAAGGTATTTATTTCATGTTTATTTTTTAATATTAATTTTAATTCTTACATTGCAATAAATTTTAAAAAATTAAATAAGAATACGTCTTAAATAATATAAAATTCTTTTCACATCTTAATTCACATTTCGCATCTTACTAAAGTTTAATAAATTGAAGTAGTATAAACTTTTGCATTTATAAACCTATTATTACTTTTTCATTTTAAATTAAAATTTGAAATATTTATCCGACAGAAATGAATCTTTTTTCTGACCCTTCAATAATTCTGGGCACTTTCGATAGATTTTTTCACACTGATTACGAATCTGTAAAGAAAAATGCTCTAGCACGTCAAGTTTTTAACAAAATTAGATTTTTTTGCGAAATATCATTTTTACGAATTGTCATTTATGCGAACTGTCATTTTTTCGAATTGTCATTTTTACGAAATGTCACTGTTGCGAATTGTCATTTTTGCAAAAATTGTTATAGTAATAAATTTCGCAAAAATGACAATTCGTAAAAATGACAATTCGCAAAAATGATATTTCGTAAAAATGACAATTCGAAAAAATGCCATTTGGGGAATAATCATGCGCCTCAAAAATGTTAAATTCACAATAGGTACTTTTTTAATATAATAAATTGCACTTATGTATACCGAAATTTAATGAAAATAATAAATGAAAAATTAATTAAGTAACCTGAAAATTTTATAAAATGTTATTAATTTGAATGCTCAAAAATTCATTTGTTTATCACTTTAAAAAAATATGACAAATGACAAAATTTAAAGTTAATGAAAAACTGATTTTTAATTGTCTTGTTGTAATGTCTTTTTAATTCTTCCTCAAGGAAATTGTTGGCTGCGATTTAAGCTTTCATTTGAAACCAAAAACAAAAATCTATCACCTCTTGTTTTTCTTTTAATCATAATTAATTATAGCCGGAAACATGCTTTTTTCACTTTTTGACACTAATTTTTTCAAAAGCTTGACGTGCTAGAGCATTTTTCTTTGCATTTTCGTAATCAGCGTGGAAAAATCTATCGAAAGTGATTAGAATTATTCAAGGGGTAAAATCAATGTCGGACAGTGTTATAGACTGGGTGATTAAAATTAAAACGTTAAATAAATTCTTTCTAAAAAGTATAGAAATATTTGTATAATCAGAATTAATGTTTAAAGATGACTTAAAAAAAAATATTTGTACCTAATTATAGTTTTGCCATAAATTATACACTTTTGAAGACCGAGAAAACATAAGAACATTAAGGAATACCGTACACATTTTTGAAACATTTCTGTCGACTAAAAATTATTAATTTAAGCAGAACGAGTAATTAAGAAAATTAATTGACTTAAAAAACCTTTAGATAAGAACTGGTATTAAAATAAAATAAAATTTTAATAAAATAAAAATTTTCGGGCAGCACACGAAAATCACATTTTAATTTTAATCACCCAGACTAATAATTACAATATTTCACTATAAGAAAAGGAAAATTATAAAATTAATAAAAGAGTATTTTACTCTCGTTCCTAGATAATTCTAAGCAGTTTTATTTAAGACTTAAAATTTTTAAACATACATTTACATAAAAACATTTACATTTACACTATATAATAATCGTAAATTTCTTCTTCCGTTAGCAGATTTATCTTCATTCATTTGTTTGTTTTGAAAATTAGTTTAAGTGGTTTATTGTCAGTTTTTACTTTTTTAAACATCAAACTTTTCAACTATCAAATTTACCTGAACTTTATTTATTTATTTATTCACAAACTTCATCCCGTCCAAAGAGTCCAAAGAGACCATAAAAGGGATTACAAAAATATAACCAAACACAATGTTATTAGTATAATAATAAATTTAAGTAATCAACTAATAAAGAACTAACTAAAAATAGCAGAAATTTATTTTTCTTTGTTTCTAAAAATGAATTTTGAATCTTTTTCAAAAACTTATAATTTAGGTCAATGTAAATGCTCTACAGCATATTTGGATAAAAGTAATAATTAATCATAATTACCATTTATATTAATAAATTGCTTAAAATGTGTTATTGAATATATTTTGACTCAGCAAACACTTTATTTAAAATGAGACTATTTAGTAAAAATATTAGATTTGCAATCAAAATTTAAAAATTATTTAACTTTTCTTTACATTAATTTAATTTGTTGCAATTATTCTAGTTTTAAAAGACAAGAAATTCTTCGTCCAAAATATAACTGTAATAATAGTTTAAGCTTTTCTATTTTTTAGAATAATTAAAAATTTTTTAATTTAAATTTTAAATCTAAAAATTATGACCTAAAATCTGACATGAAATTTGGATTTGGAGGTTCAAAAAATCCCTTAATAACTAAAACAAACGAATTTGGTAAAGTTTTAAAAAGATTGATTGACATTAGATTCGCCATTTTTATTTTAGAAAACCTGATGTTAGATTTTTAATTATTAACTATGAAATTTGTTAAAGATTTTTTATATACTTTAAGGGAAGACTGCGATGCAATTATTTTCAGTTATATGAAGACATTAACTTAAAAAACCACCAAAACAGTTCTTATAGTAATTTTTCGCGAGGAATTCAATGGTCATAAAATAAATTGGGTTAAAAAAATTTTATTTTTCGTAAAGGATTAAATATTCTAAAACCCAACTGTAAATTTGTAGAAAATATGTTTATTTATCTAAATATAAAAATTTGCACCTCAAAATTTTAATATTTACTATTTTTGAAGCATTTTTTTCGGAAAAAAATTAATTTTCTATCGAATAAAAGGTGATTTTTGTAATTAAAATTGTAAATTTAGGTAATAAAAATCATTTCAATTTGTAAAGTTATTTTTGAAATTTAAAGAATATTTATATTTTTCATGAAAGATCCCCTTAATTTTTTGAAAAAGTGACAATGTTTGAAATTTTTTATTTATAAAGTCGTTTTTTTTGCAATACAACATTTACACTAATTATAAATTTTGATTTCTGAGACATTAATAATTTCATAATGTTTGTGAAAAGTAACAAGTAAAAATTATTATTAATTTAAAAAAAGTCATTTTTGAAAGTTCGATGTTTCTGAAGATTATTATTTCTAAAAAATACATATTTAGATCCTTACTTAAATATATTTATTCAAAAGAATATTCTTCCTAAAATTATTGGTATTGGTAGCCTAATATTTATGTATAAAAATTTAAAACTTAATTTTGGATAAAATATAAAAATTCATTATCAACAATTAATCAGAGTTCTGACGTTATTTAGAACTACTAATTTATTTTCATTCTATTCAAGAATATTCTAAAAAGGTGTTTTTACAAATTTATTTTATTTCTTTTCTTTTTGCTAAAAAAGTAATTATTACTTTTTTTTTAAAGTAATTATGAGATACTTTTTTAGCAAAAAAAAAAAAAATAAAATAAATTTGTAAAAACACCTTTTCAGAATATTCTTGAATAGAATGAAAATAAATTATTAGTTCTAAATAACGTGAATTTCAATGAGTCTAGAATTTTCACTCACAAATGATAATAACCCACACGCACATTAATTTCTCAAACAAACAATGCTATACAATAGTATTTGAAGAAAAAAAGTGACAACATTTGCTAACGGAATTCTCATTTATTATTTATATATAAATATATATTTATGTAATATGTAGTATTTTTAGCTTAAAAACTATAAATTACACTGTTGGCATGCAACATTCTTCCATGAAACACAAATAATTTACCTACATTTTCTTTTTCTTGAAACTGAAAATGCACAGATTCTAACTTTTTATAGTTCGCAGTAAAAAAAATGGTTTAATGCCAGTAATGTGAAAAGGACTTAGTTGTGTAAAGAAGCGCAAAAAAGGGTTAAATAATAATTAAAGAGCTGTTATATTTTCATAAAATTTTCAAACAATCAAATCTCTTATTTAAGAAATTTACTCTTGAAAAGCAATTAGTAACCTTGAATTTATGTTTTTAATTAAATATTAAATTAATTAAAAAAGTAATTAGTGAAGATTGTTAGTTTTACGGCCTAGTAATAGAGTTTATTTATTCACTTTAGAAACGCGTTTTAATTTATTCTGCTTTCATTTTACAGGGTTGCCACAGGTCAGGGAAAATTAAATTGGTCAGGGAAATCACTTTTGTTGTCAAAAAAAAAACATTTTTGAAAAAACTTAAATACCTTAAATACTACATGAATTATTTTCACCTTATAAACTTTTGATTCATAATAAATTTTAAAACAATTACCCTACTTTTTTTAATTCTGTAAACAATCTCATTTATTTTAAATAATAACATTCTAGAATTACATTTCTGCGAAGTTATTAATTACAATTAATTTAGAAAATATTTTAGTTAAAAACAGTAACAATTTTCAAAATTAATTTTAAAAGTTAATCCTATGTCATAATTTCGAAAATATTTATGTAAAAATGATAAATTAAATTTTAAGTTTAATTTAGTGAAAATGTAAAGTTTAAAATAAAATTTTTGCTTCTAAAGAAAAACCCTTTTTATAATTGAATTCCCCTTAAATTTTTGCTTATAGGGATCAAGGAAAAAGTCAAAATTCTGTCTGGAAAGCAGGGAAAAACAAAATCAAATTTTTATGGCAACCCTGTTTTAGTTAAGGTACTTAAATTTGAAAAAAATATCCAATAATTTGATCTCACTTTTCTTAATTGTTACCAATATAAATATAGTATTTTTATATATCTATTGTTATAATGAAAAAGGCTAGTTTCGCGCAAACCTTATTATTGTTACTCTTCGGGGGATAAACAGTGAAATCTTACAAAGCATTGTCCAATTATTGGAAAGATAAGAGAATAGAAATAAATAAATAAATATCCTCAGAGAGGATAATAAAAATTTAATTGAATACCTGAAACAGGAAAAAATAAAAATATAGAGCATTTTAAAGTTATTTTATTTTAATTTATTAATTATAAGAAAAAGAAAGTTTCTTACCTTTTTAAAACTAAAAATATTAAATGTAAAAAAGTAAGTTTTCAATTTGGAAAAAAGGTAGAAAAGAAACATGATATTTAATTATACTTATGGGCAATTCTCTGGAACCTTTAACCTTTTAAGTGTCTCATATTTATTATACAATATTACTAAATATAATATTTGTTTTCAAATTTCAAAATAGAAATACATATGTCATTCTTAAAATTAAAAATAAGTTAAAAATTAAAAATAATGAGGCCAATGACAGAAATTTTGAATAAAAAAGCAGAACAAATGAGGGAAAAGAGAATAGAAGGAAAGAAAACGAAAAAATAAAAAATCTGAACCACTTTTTGAAAATTGCGACTATCGCCTAAAATATAATCGTTAACTGTTATCAATAATATCAAAATCGAAAAATTATTTTTTGTCAAAGTCTTGGTTACTAAGTTAACGGGTAGGTTCTGGTAAAAATCGACAGAAACATTGTTTTTGATTTATTTTCATACTTAGAGTCTTGGAAATGTGTATAGGCAAAAGGACATAAAAGTGTCAGTAGACAAACATTACATATACGATTTTTTTCTTCGTCAAACTTTAATCGCGTTTGTCTCGAAACACTTTCTTTTTGCGCGCGGAGCACGATTCCGCTATTTATAGCGACTGAGTCGATTTCGATGTTTGATGGTTCAAATTAAAGCTTATTCAATTTAAAAGGGCTTAAGAAAGTGTTTTCTTCAAAAGATATTTTTATTATTATTTTTTTACGTTAAATGGGAAAAAAAGGAAAAAAGGTTTTTTTTAAAATTATTTTCATGAAGAATAATATTTTTTACCAGGAATTCAATTTATTATTTTCATATATAGGTTTTCAATTATTTCCATAAATAATAAAAATCATCGCAGAATTTCAATTATTTTTAATACAATTTTAATGGAATTTCTCGAAAAATGTAATTATTCTTAAAAATTTTATTATATAATTCATAAAAAAAATTCAATTATTTTAAAAAGCCTTCCTATAATTTATGTATTATTTTCAAAAATTTGAATGAAATTCTTTTTAACAATTCAATTTTTTTTCAAAATAATTTAAATAAAATTCTTCGTAGAATTAAATTAATTTCAATAATTTATCAAAATTCAATTATTTTTAATATCTACGTATTTCAATAAAATTTCACAAAAGAATTCAATTATTTAAAAAGCAATATATCATTAAAATTCGCCTCAAGAATTCAATTATTTTCAAAAGTATGTAATAAAATTCTTCACAAAAATTCAATTATGATCAAAAGTTTAAAAAAATTCTTGTCAAAATTTCAATTATCCTTATAAATAATAAAATCATTCTTCAAAATTCAATTATTTTCAAAAAATTTAATAGAATTCTTGGCAGAATTTCAATTATTTTCAAAAACTTTTCTCAATTCAATTAAATTTTATTTTACAGAGATTCAATTATTTTTAATGCAATTTTAATCTAATTTCTCGAAAATGGAAATTATTCTTAAAAATTTTATTAAAATTCATCAAAAGAATTTTAATTATTTAAAAATTTGTTGATAAAATTCTTTATGATAGTTCAATTTTAAGAAACATTCAATTTTTTAATAAATTATTTGTTTTTGTATTTAAATAATTGAATTCTCGTAGAATTTTCTAATAAAAATTGATTGAAATATGAATTTCAGTTGAAATTTTAGATAATAATTGAATATTAAACTCTAAATTTTAATTAGTAAAAATGCTTTCTAATTTGAATTAGTGACTGACTTTTTGCTTTTAAATTAGCAAATTTTACCAATAAATAGTCGTTTCTACTAATTAAAATTTACTAATTTAAAAGCAAAAAGTCAGTCACTAATTCCGAAATAGTAAACATTTTTACTAATTCAAATTTAAAGAGAAAGTATTATAGTGTGAATTTTTAGAAATAATAATTGGATTTTGAAAAGGTTTCAAATTATAATCTCTGAAAGTTTGAATTTTTCATACTTTTAACTGAAAATTGTGTAGATTTAATTTTTTTTAAAGTTTAATGGAACTTTTTTGAAATTATTTGAAGTTTTTATTTTCTAATATATATTTAATTGAAGAATTTCCGAATAATCGAAATTTTAGTGCGTAATATTGAATTGTAAAAAAACGGATTTGAAAATTCTCAAAGAACTGTTTAAAAAATTATTAAAAATAATTAATTTAAAGAATTTTAGTTAAAAATTCTAGAAAATAATTGAATTGAAATGAGAATAATTTTCATGAAGTTATAGTAACAATATTCTTATAAAATATAAAATAATGATTTTATCAGTCGGTCATCTTTAATTTATTACAAAACATGAAGATATCGATTGCTCCGAGTCGAAGACTCGGAGTGATCGATATCTTTATGTTTTAACAATTTTTTGAAAATTGTTTAATTTTGAAAAGGTTTGAATTTGAAATTTTTGAAAGTCTTAATTCCTATGGAAAAAAAATTATAGTTACTAAAAATGATTAAAATAAAAAAAAATGATTAAAATTAAAATGATTAATTATAGTTACTTAAAATTATAGTCTGCCCAATAGTTGGAATATGTTTTGTAAAATTTCACTGTTTATCCTCTAAAGGAGGAACAATTTTATTAATAATGTTCGAAAACGGTTGGGAGTTTTAAGAAAAAGTATAATACTAGGCCTTTTCTTTATAACAATATTATTTAATTTTAATACGGTCTATAACAAAAAGTAAATGATATTTTTACATAATTAATTATTACTTGTTTGTTTATTGATAATTGAAATGTGAATTCTAACAATGAATTTTTAATATTTTATTTGTAGACATTCTCCTAATATTATGGTGTCTCAAAGTGGCCTCTTCCAATTTTCCGGACCGCGGACCGGCAAAGATCAAACCTTACTCAGGAATCTTTCAACTGGTATGCTGGCTGGTCTCAAAAGTGAACAGTTAAAATAGAATTTTTCAATTTATCGTAATTATAGTCTCTGTGAAGTCAAGAAAAATGGCGGCAATTGTGAAGAAGCACACGTTTCACTGAGTATAACAAAAAAAAAAAAAAAAAAAAAAAAGATGAAGAAGAAAAGAAGAAAAACGAAAAAAACACTAGGTGCTCCAAGTATTAAATTGAGGCCAGCCGACTCGTTTAACGCATCCGAGTATAATATTTTAATATTTTAATCGCACAAAAAAGCCAACACAGGTTGTTGGATTCTCAGCGAAGCACAAACTCGGATAACGAATGGCGGGACACGTTTAGTGTTCGTGTCGCATTCCTGTTTTTAAACTCAGGGTGTCTTGACTCTATTGAGAAAAATTGTAAAGAATGTCGTGTTTGTTATAGATATGTGTATATTTGTGTGGAGTTTTCAAATTTCCAATTGAAAGTCAATAGATTCGAATATTGGTTCCTGTTGTGTCTCCGGCCTGATAAGATCACGGATCAAACATGAATCTTCACTCAGGAAATTTTAGCGAAATGCCGGCTGGTCTCAAAAAAACAAATCGTCATTTTTAAGATAAAAAAAAGAGTATACATACATTGTATATGCACTAGGGTGACTTCTTTTTTTTTGCTTTTCTTGGCACTATCTTTTAAGTTTGTTCTGTGACAACAAATAAGACACGTATTTTTTTCTTTTATTTTTATTTGTCCGTGTCGACGAGTCCGTGAAAATTGCCACCGTATTTCCAAAGGGAAAAAACAATTTATTATTATTACATTCAAACTGAATTTGCAAAAAAAAAAATTTTTCTAATTTTTCAACTTTTTGTATAGATTGTAATCGGAATTAAAAAATTACTAGCGAATTGAGACGTTAACAATTGTTTGAACAAGAAAACTTGTTTATTAAATTTTTTTGAAATGAGTCAAAGAAAATTGTTCATATTTTCTTATTTTGCATATTTCTTTTCGTTTATAAAAGATGTAAATAATAAGGACAAAATTATTATTCTAACAATAATATTTTGACAAAATTTAATACAATAATTTGTTCAAACAATATTTTTTAAATTTTATTAAACATTGTTAAATAATAATAGAGAAAAGATTTTTTTTTAAATAATTTTTTGTTAAAAATAATATTATGTTTCAAAAATAGTAAAGAAACATTTAATTTAATTTAAGTATTAATTATTTTTTTGAATAACTTTTAAACTAAATTATGTTAACAGAATTCGAAATTAAAGATAAATGTTTATTTAGAGATTCTGTAAAGAGATGAGAAGAGAATAAATATTTTTAAAAACTTATTTTTTAGAGCAATCAGTTGAATTCATTTTCTAAAAGTAAGCAATTGTTATCGATTTATTAATAAAAAAAAAATTTTTTTTAAATTGGGTTATTTGCGTTTCTGGAGTTTTTTTTCGGTCAACTATAAAAAAAAGTAGCTGTATGTAGTATAAAAAAATAAAACATATTGGTCATTCCAGGTGAAATTTTAATTAAAAATTTTTTTTTGTTTGGAACAATTTTTTCGAATTTTATATGGTGAAAAAAAAGACGTTTTTTTTATTTTGTTATTGGATAGAAAGTCACTTTTTCGAATTAATTTCCACTTTTTTAAAATATTTTTCTTAAATAAAATTATTCAAAATTTTAATCATTTTCTTTCAAAATAAAAATTTTAAATTATTACAGTTTTACGACTATTAATAATAAAAACATTTCTCAAAAAATTCAATTATTTAAAAAAATGTAATAAAATTCGTTGCAAGAACAGAATTATTTTTATAAATAATAAAATTCTTTACAGGATTTCAATTATTTAAACAAAATTTAATAGAATTTGTTGCAAGAATTCAATTATTTTCATAAATAACAAAATTCTTCACTGGGTTTCAATTATTTAAAAAAAAGTAATAAAAACTTGTTGTAAGAATTGAATTATTCTCCTAAATATTAAAATTCTTTATTGAATTTCAATTATTTTTTTAGTAAAATTTTAAGTAAATTCTTCGAAAAATGTAATTATTTTCGAAGATTTTATTAAAATTCTTCGAAAGAATTTAATTATCAATTATTTTTAATAATTTTTGTAAAAGATCCTTGAAAATTTTCAAAACCATATGTTTACAATTTAATTTTACGAAATTTCGAATATTCGGAAATTCTTCAATTATTGAATATTTAGAAAATAAAAACTTGAAATAATTTCAAAAGAAAAATTCAATTTATAAAAAAAAATTAATTTTACAGAATTGTCAGTTAAAAGTATGACAAATTCATATTTTCAGAGATTTTAATTTGAATCCTTTTCAAAATTCAATTATTTCTAAAAATTCACACTATAATGCTTTTAATATTCAATTATTATCTAAAATTTTAAATCAATAATCTTATTAGAAATTTCTACGAAAATTCGATTATTTAAATACAAAAATAAATAATTTGTTGAATAATTGAATATTTCTTAAAATTGAATTCTTATAAAAATTTGTTAAAATAATTTAATTCTTTTGAAGAATTTTAATAAAAATTTCAAGAATAATAATTGCAGTTTTCGAAGAATTCATTATTTATTTATTTATTTACAATTTATTCACAATTATAATTGCATTTAAAAATAATATATAATTAAAATTAAATTAGATAAATAATTGAATTCATGTGAAAATTTTATTAGTTATGAAAATAATTGATCAAAATAATAAAAATAATAAAATTTGTAAAAATACAAATTCAATTGTTTTGAAGAAAATTTAAGTTCGTACGAGAAATTTGATTAAAATTGTACTGGGAAAAATTGATTTCTTCTGAAGAGTTTATCAAAATTTATAAAAAATAAGTGAATTCTATCAACAGTTTTAAAAAAAGTTGAAAACTTTTCAAAAATAATTAAATTCTATCAAGAAATTTTTTTCAAATTATATTGAAAATAATTGAATTTTTCCAAAAAATAATCAAAATTTCACAGAAATTCAATTATTTTTAAAAGTAATAAAGTTATTCGCAGAAATTCAATTCTGTTCAAAAATTTTTTGAAAAAATTCTCGTCAAAATTTCTTCAATTCAATGATTTTTAAAATCAACTATTTTAATTAAATTTTCCAAAAGAATGAAATTATTTGAAAAAAAATTCGATAAAATTCTACAAAAGCATTTAATTATTTTTATAAATAATAAAATTTTTTACAGTGATTCAATTATTTTTTGTAAATAATAAAACTCATTCAGAATTTCAATTATTTTTAATACAATTTTAATTGAATTCCTCTAAATAATTCAATTATTTAAGACTTTGTTGATAAAATTCTATTTGAAAATAATTAAAATTCTTGCAACGAATTTTCTTAAAAAAATTTTTTTAAATAATTATTGAATTCTTTTGGTAAATTTTGTTGAATTAGTAGATATTAAAAATAATTAAATTTGAACAAATTTTTGAAATAAATTATATTTCTACGTAGAATTTTATGAAAATCTTTTTAACTAAATTCATTTTATTTGAAAAATTTTATATGAAAAAATTGTGTTTTAAATTATTCAATTCCTGTGAAAATTTTATTATTTATGAAAATAATTGAATATTTGCAAAGAATTTTATAAATTTTTGTTTAAATAATTGAAACGTTTGAAAGAATTTTATTAATATTATATTTGTTTCGGAGAATTTTATTTAAATTTTTGTGAATTTTTTTTTATTCCAACTATTATATAGAATTTAATGTAGTGCAAATTTTCAAACATAGGAAAAAGTAGCTTTTAGTGTCACGAATCTAAGAAAAAGTATCCAAATAGTAGGAAATCGTAAAAAAAGTAGTAAATAGTAGGTTTTAGTAGATGAGTATGAAGCTTGTTATCTTCTAGTAGTATTAGAGAAAAGCGTGTTTCAAAAGTCCTCGCCTCGGCTTCTGAAAAAGCTAAATTTAAAAAAAATCGTAACTTTTACAATTTTTATTGAATATGAAATTAAAAAAAAAAAAAATTTTTATTTATTTTTTTTCTTATTTTTGATATAAAATTAGAAAACAATGTTCCAAACTGAACAAAAAAAAATTTTACTGAAAATTTCACCTGGAATGTTATATTTCCATACAGGGATATCATAATTTTTGAGGATAGTCGTCGACACGGATAGAATAAAAAAAAAATAGGAATCTTATATTTTTGATTATAAAACAAAAATTGGAGGGTAGTGTGAAGGGAAGTAAAAAAATGTTTTTTCAGGCCACCCTAATATGCAGTTATAGTACGCCAACTTGAATTTTAAGCAAGCGTAGTAAGGCGTCTTAACACGTTCACCAATGCGACATTTCGGTAGGTGTCTTTTAAAGTGGCATGTACCTGCTTGGTTCCCAAAAAAAATAAAAAAACGCGCAAAATAAAAGGAAAGGGGATCGATTTTCTCTTCCACGTCTGGTACAGGCCGCCCTGGTGAACGTGTTGAATTTTTAAATGAATTGTTAAATAAGTGCAATATTTAAATTCTTATTAGATAAGATTATTTAACAAATTTTATGTGATTGCATTATTTAACTTGTTAGGCAATTGCATAATAAAGTCATTTCCAATTGGAAGTAAACGATTATATTATATTATTTTTCAAATGAAATTATCGATGGGTTTATTTTAGAAACCTAGAGTCATTAATGCCATAATTTAATCCAAGCGAAACAAGTACTTTAATCGATTTACTAGTCTGCTCAGTTTTATCCGTCTCATTGTTATTAATATTATTATTATTATTATTATTATTTATAATTAAATTAATAAATCAATTAATTAGTTAATTAATAAATTAATTAAATAAATTAGTGAGTCAATTAAGAAATTTGTTGATTAAGAAAAGTAAATTAATTTGACGTGCACTTAAAGAACTAACAATAAAAAATAAAGTTGAATGAAAAGAGAGGAGAAACTCAGAAATACTGACATTTGTCGTATTAATGGATAAACGTTGTGATTCTATAGTAGAATTTTTTTCCTTTTTTTTTAAATGTTTGTTATTATTATTCTGAAGATGAAAAAAGTGAAAATAATGAAAAATTTAAAAATCTAAAATTACTGTATGCTTTTCGGCTGCAGACAACTTTGTAGTGATAAAAAAAAGATTAGTCACGATGATAGATTTTATTAAGGGTCAATTTTGATTTTAAGATTATTAAAAAAAAAAAAAAAAAAACAGAAAAGGTTCAACCACATTCCGCTTACATTCGCGTCTCCATATTTCTACCTGAATTTGTCCATTGGACTCTTGTTGTTAGTATCCTGTCCTCGCATAATTGGTCTGATATTTTTCAGATCCGACGGAGGCATCTATTTAGTTACCTATTTCGGGATTAGTCTATGGTAGTTGCCAATATTTATAGTAGTAATTAGATGTAGTGCCATTTACTTGCATAGACAATTTTATCTTAAAATCATGAGAAAAAACAAAAAAAAAAACAGTTGCAAAAAACAAAAGAAAAATTAAAACAATGTATAAACAATATATTGTTTATATATAATATATTGTTAATATTGTAATGTAATATTGTTAATATTGTATATAATATATTGTTAATATATAAACAATATAAAATGTAGATACGCTTTATTTATTGAGACTATCGCATGTACCTTTAACTTTTTTTCAGGTTGAAACTACTTCTTCAATTATATACGAAAAAGCAGAAAACAACAGGGTTTGCCACAGGTCAGAGAAAGCAGGGAAAAATCAGGAATTTTTATTTAAAATACTGAAAAAAATTAAATTTTTAGAAAAAATTAAAAAAAAATTTTAAGACAAAATTTTTGAAATTTCATGAGAAATATTTTTGATTTTTGGTGTTTTTTTATTGACTCATAAACTATAAAATTACCACGAATTTTAATACAGAATCTTCAATTTTTTCTATTTTTGACAATATAATTTCTTCTTAAATAACTTAATTCTTGAAGAACTATCATAAAATTATTACTTATAAATTATTTAATAAATAATTTTATACTTAAATATTTCAAAATTAATTAAATTTTTAAAAAGTTAGGTTTACAATTTTCATAAATAGATGAACTTCAAAAGGTTTTAATTTG